TATGTATATCTCTCATCTATGCTTTGTATGTCCTATTCATTCATTTAACCTTATTTATGTCTATGTGTATATTTCTTCTCTATGTATATCATTGATATCTCTTTCCTAAGTGGTGACCTGTTTTTATATGTTTATTATCTGTATCTGTGTATATATGCTTCTTTTTTTATATATGTGTATTTGTCTCTTTTATATCATAGTGTCTCTATCCCTGTGTCTCTCTCTTGTCTGTGTATCTATTTTCCATTCAATAATTATCCTGGGCTCCCCATTCCTTATACTATATTGGAATTGGGTGCTCTTTGTCTCTCTATTGGTATGGTATGTGTACGCCCCCCACCTCTCTCCTCATTTTCTATATTTTGGTGTATATCCTTTGGATTATTTTCTATTTATATTTATTCTTTTCTATTGTACTGGGTTCTTTTCTGGGTTCTGGTGGTCGTTTTTTGGGTGTCTTCATGTCTATATCTCTCTGTGTCCTTTAGGGTCAGCTAATATTTTGCTGTGTTGTCCGTGGTGCCTCTCTGCTGATGTAGTCTGTTAATTTTGTTTTATATGTGTGTTTGCCTTCCTATGGAATATATATATCATCTGTATCTCCCTTATTGTGTGTATCCCATATGTTTACTCCTTTCCTACTATATCTCTCATATGCTCTTCTGTATCTTGTCTAGTGTTTAATCATGTTGTATTCCTTTGGTGGACATTTGATACCCCTCTCTGGTTGTTTTTCTGTATGGGGGTATCTACTCTCCAGGTGTGTGTGTGTTTTATGTTATTTAGAATTGTTATAATAACTCACGTGGAATACTCCCCTCTCTATGGGGGCCATAAATTTCATATATATTATATATCTCTCTATATATGTGTCTCTATTTAAATGAAGGTATTTTAAAATAATATGTGACAGTTACCTGATGGTATGATTACATATATATCATGTATATAATTATATATATATTATCGTATATTATTAATTATCTCCTGCTCTCAGGCTTTCATGTGGCTCGTTTCAATCTTTCCCCCCTCCTCATTCTATATAATCTATCGATTTTGTTATTCATATATTATATGTTGGGGCTAGTTGTGTAGTATCTATGTATATTATATATTGTTTATATATAATAATTATAATTATATAATGTAAATGTAATTATTATAATACTTGGTGTCATTAATAATAAGATGATGAATATGGTGTGCTATATCCGATCTATGTGTATATCAGATTGTATTTATTTGTTATTCTGTATTTGTATATATGTGATGTGTATATACAAATATATATATTATTATCTATTGTCATTTATGCTTATTATAAAATATGTTATGTGGCCTGTTTCTTATATGTTCTAATCCTATGTGTAGAACTCTTATGTTAAATCTTTAGGGTACTTGTGTCATATGTATTATTTTTAGTCTTATATTTTTTTTTAATCCTCATGTATATATATATCATATATTGACTAGTCCAATATCTCTATAAGAGAGAATGTCTTAACATGGGATATATTAAAAAAAAAATAATTGTTGTGCTAGGTTCTAGTGTTTAATCTTTTTCCTCTATACATTGTCATGCAACTTCTGAAGTTCCTATAACTTCTTTCCCCCTATATTTTTTTATGTGTCATTCTTATATATATTGATGTGTGGGATCTCTCATCTCTATCCTCCTGGTGTATAATGTTGTCTTCCCCTCAATGTTGGTCTTATACTTCTCTAATTCTTGTGTTTTGGTGTATTTGATATAATTGATATCTCCATTGTCTCTGGTTTCTTCTCGTATGTGGCGGCGTTGTTCTGTTGTTTCATTCTTCAAAAATACTACAATGCTTGTTGTCTTTTTTTTTTTCTGCCCTCCTCTATCCCTCTGGTATCCTATCATATGTAAAGTACTCATCATAATATCATATATCCATTTGGGTTTAGGCTGTATTCATATATTATATGTGGTGCTTATTTCTATATATGTATGATAGCTTCTATATAGTGAATATAATATCCTGCATAGTGAGTCATTACTCCCCTCCATCCTCTCTATATACTCTAATAAATAATTTTATCTAACCCTTTTTTTTAAAGGGACCCCTATCATTGCCAATTGCACCTTTTTACGTGTTTTTATACCATGGGAATATGTGTCCCCAGTGTCCAGGGGAACCCTCACCCAAAGTGGTCCAGAAAACCCCACCAACCCCTCTTCTATTTTCCTCCTTAAGTCCAAAAATCTCTAAAACAAAGGGTGGCTTGGCAACGGATCAAGAAACAAAAAAAAACGATCCAGATTCAACCCCACTTTTCTACTTACACAAAAGAGGTTGGCTTCCGCTTTACTTGGTTTTCAGCTCTCCCACTAATCAGGGGGAATTTGCAAGCCACGGGTCACCGTGCAAATGCCAAAACCTCACATTTGCATTATTACTGTAGGGGGGAACGGAAATTTCCCGTCCAATTGCCTATGTCAAATGTTAAAACGGAAAACGGGATGACCAACAGGACTTTCCGTGCCACATTTTCAAGCGGGCCTGGTGGGGGATTAAAAAAAACCAGTTAATGGGCAACTTTAACATCCCTCAACGTTAACCCAAGGATTTCTGCTCTTTTCCCCCCTGGGTTACCAAAAAGTGAGGTGACTGCAGGCCTGTCCCTCCTGGTGCGCTTCTTTGTTTGGGGGGGGGGTGTATCGGCAGGCCTCGCTCCTCTCTGCCGCTGCGGGGCTCTGTCCTCTATTCCACACCAAACTTTCCCCCGGCCTTTCAAGGGAGGACTTAATGCTTGTTCAAACTCTTAAGTTACAAAAAAATAACTTGTTAACACATTGGGGCTATGTCTTTGGGCTAATTAGCCAAAAATTATGAACGGGGAATAAAGTAAGCTAAAAGGCATCGTAAAAAACAAATACAGAGTAAATATATTAAACTTAGGTACATACAGGTTGTCTGGTCAACTAACCCCATTCAGAAAAACGTTTTTCCCTGGCTGAAACCGGGAGGGGATGGTGTTGCACCTCCAACCCAAAAAATCCTCCTGCTTTACTTCCAAGTCTGTCAAGTTTCTGGATCAATTGATTAATTATTTGGGGCTTGAACCACCTATGTGTCTGTCTGAGTTTATGGGACATTGTATTCCCACAACTTCCGTAATCACAGCAAACATGGGTAACGTGGGATTCTCGGCGGGGCTCATTTTCCCCCCCTCTCTGCAGGGGGGGCGTGGGCGTGGTCAGCTGCTGCTCAAAATTTTCAAAGACAGGCTTGGAATAGAGCGAAAATTAGCGAAACGAGGCATGGCTAAAAAATGATCTGTTTGGTATTTTGAAAAATAAAATTGATCAATATACCTTATATAGGTATGGTCATACACTATATTATTTAAATATAGCATGATAGGTCTCCTTTAAAGAATCTTATTGATGCTCTATAATAGAGAGGTGCAGTGATGACATAGGCCTACTTTTATAGGCCAATCCAGAAATTAGCATCACAAGGTTTCACCCAAAAAAAGAAGCAATGGGATTTTTCCATTAGATCTAAGAATGTTGCAGAAAATAAGATTATTGGTAAACACACATTTATGATACTCACGTTTTGTTCCCCCAATATTACCACCCTGTTGACGATTTTTGAAGCGTAAATGCAAGTAAAAAGCAAACAAACTACATCACAGTGTTATGCCTGCGCGTCACCACCGCTAAGCTAATGTGGCTAATGTTTGGGATGATGACGTTTAGTAGTCCCATCTCGTCACTTGTCAGCAAAAGCCGTTTTTTATGACCAATAGAAACTTCAATAGGGCTCTGACACCAATATGTATGCCCTGAAGCGTGTCTGATGACATATACAACTAGTGTTTGATAGAAGAGGTGTCATCATTTACATATAATTATGTCAGTGATTACCCTAGTTGGCTCTAGCAGCTCATGCTTGTACCAACATGTACGTACGTTTTTTTCTCCAAGCAGCAATAGACGAGAAGGCAACAGTCTGAGCAACAGGTACGGCCCACCCTCCCTCTCAAAGAGGCAGGTCATATTTCAGACAGACTGAACTCTGTCTCTGCAGTAGACGTTAATGCACAAACCCCCCAACAATAGTCTGGTCAGACCTGTTCACAGGACTGTCAGAAACAGTGTTACATACACTGCTCCACTCACTGTGCAGTGCTTATTTTGTTGTTATAGCTGGAACGGTGCCATAGATTCAATCTCTTGAAGTATATGGAGTTTCCACGATGTATCACTCCACCCCCTTTAAACTTGGTAGAGCCCAAAATAACCAGAATAGCTGTGTGACGGTGTGTTAACTGAGAATCATACATGTTTTATTGAAACTAAGTATACAAGAAAAAGATAGATGAAAGGCATAACAGTAAACGACTGCTCAGCACACAATAATTAATTGAAAAATAAATAAAATAATCAGGTTTTAAGCTTTCTATGAACTCAAGATTTAAAATTGAACAAGCTACTAAAAGATTAAATCTTGAATACAAGATTTTAAATTGAACAAGCTACTAAAAGATAAAAAGAACTCTCTTTTCTGTATTTCTGCATTTTTCTGTATTTCTTTCATAGTATCTCTGTTAGAGCATACATCTGTTTGCAAATCATATTGGGATCTACAGCCAAAATTAAAATATTTACAAATGGATTCACAAACACTGAGATTACTAAAATACTCAACAATAAGCCTGCAAAGTTTTGAATTACAAATGTCCTATTGCATTTCTTTATTTCACTCATAACCATGTCATTTAAAAGGGCCAACATTTCACAAACTATTGTTGACACTGAAATTTAGAAGCAGAACACTCATTTGTCAAATGAAATATTTTAACTTCCTCGTATAGTTGTATTCTGTGCTTTCATTTAATGTTATTCAAACCTAAAGGGGCCCTATTATGACCTATTATGAGTTGTATTATGAGTGTTACTTTTTTACATACATGTAACTTACATGCAATTGTGGACCATTGTTTTAAAGAGGGATTCAGTGTGAAGTAATTATAAATGTATGTTGCAGGCTGTTGTTCTGGTGATTGCTTACTCAGGACACAACCTGGTAAGAAAAAAAAGGGAATGGATTCTCCCTGCGAAGCCACTGAAGGAAAATGTAGACTACACCAGAAAGGAATTTATTGCCAAGGTGAGTCACTGATTATTTATACCCATATATTCTGTAACAGACAAAGAGGGAACTATTTAACCACTAACAGCAATAATTTAGTGAGCAGGTGTTGTTGTCTACAAATGTACTTTTAGTTTGTTTCTCTGATGCAGTGAAATCACCGTCTTCCTGTTTTGTGTTTCAGATTCGGTCAGATTTGAAGGAAACTGAGGGACTTCAGTACTCTCTAGAAGGCATTGGCGCAAATAAATCTCCCTTCAATGTGTTTGTTGTCGACCCTCATACTGGATTCATTCGTGTGACCAGACAACTCGACAGGGAAGAAATCGATACATACAATGTGAATGATGTTCCGTGCTTTTTGACCTGAATACCACTGTATTAGATTCTGAATAAGTGAGTAAAGAATTTTTTTTTTTTTTTCAGCTGTCAGGTATTGCTAAGTACATTAATGGTGGACATGCAGAGAAACAAATTGACGTACGAATCAAAGTTATCGATGAGAACGACAACGCTCCAGTGTTTGCAGTCATGAAGGACGGGGGGGTGAAAGAGCTCAGTCCTCGAGGCAAGTGTTTCTGCTTTTGTGTGCAAATCCAGATTCTTCCTTCAAAGTAATCCTACAGTTACTTCATAAATACAACAAAACATTCTGGTTTTATAAATACGAGATGATCTATTTTCTTGCCTTATTTTCACTAAGCTGCTTAATGTGACACATATTTATTTAACACCTAGAACTAGTATATAACAAAGGTAAGTAGCTGTACATTTGGTAAACAATTTGATATTACTTAGGTTTTAAGTCATTATTCAGTATCCACATGAGAGTCTGAGTGTTTTCTGATCTTTCTGACCAGTTTGAAATGTGATGCATTTAGCTGTCTTTCATCAGGGCATAGCCGAATGTACTTACATTTTTAATAACTGTTTCACTAAATAATGTTTTACAGGGACTTCAGTCATGAAAATAACTGCAACTGATGCTGATGAACCAGGAAATATGAACTCTCAGATCGCCTATACCATCGTAGATCAGAAACCTCCCGGTGACATGTTTTCCATTTCCAAAGATGGGATCGTACGCGTCAAAAGTTCTGCCCTGGACAGAGAGGTATAGTGTGAACTACATCTACAGGGCGAGTCTCAATCGCAGAGGATTACAAATACTAATCGATGGAGCTAGATTTGTCTCAATAATTATATTTGTGGGTACAAATATCCAACAATGGCCAACTCTGTGTGTGAAGAATGTAAATCAACACGTGTAGAATTGAGAACCACTAATGCATTTTCAATCTACAAATAAAAACCGAATACAATTCACAGATACTGATAGAAAGTTCTAAATGTCAAAAAAGATTTTCACAAATTATTTTCCTCATCATGGTTTACCTAAATATAATTTACACTTTGGTTTTTCTTTAAAGTCAACTGTCACTGTACGTCCAGTGCAATCACAAGATGTCATATGTAACGTAACCTGACTAACAGGAAGTGGTCGTGTGTTTGAGCCTGCCATTGGCTGCCTTTTCAGAAACAATTCACCATCCCTGAACCTATCCATATTATGATTTTGATGGGAGACTTTCACTTCATCTTGAGCTCAGCATTTCCCATGCCGACATTCAAGACGTTGTAATGATGCACACTATAAAGCAAAGCAGCGTTTGCCGACCATTGTCGCACACACAGTATCTGGTATTAAAATAATCAAACAAGATGATGGTAAAGCATTTATCTAGTCATTTGTTTGATCAATCAGAGGGACTTAGTTTGAAGAAAGGCTCCGCTTCTATATTGTCAGCTGAATTGGTAGAGGTACAAAAAGTGCTGACCGTGCTGGACACACCGCAAAAACTAGGGCGAATGAGCACTTACCAAAAGTGACTGAAGGCCAATAACGAGTATTTTGTGTCAGGGCCTTATAGGGTCGCTGTGTGAGCCTTCCTGTAATGTGAATGCATCTCGTGTTTTATGTAATACTTCCCAGCACTGCACATCCTGTAGCTTCAATAATTTGCCACCCTTTTTACATTATTGTAGTGGTTTGACTGCATCTTACAGAGAAGTCCCTGCTTTAACACTTCCTGTTTTATTCCCCATTCTTATTTCAGACAGCAGATCAGTACACTCTGACAGTGAAAGGTCAAGACCTGAATGGTTTACCAGGCGGACACAGTGCAACCAGCACTGTTGTCATTAATGTTCAAGATGTTAATGACAACCTTCCCACTCTGGAAAAAGTGGAGGTACTTTTCTTTCTTACATTCTTCTTTATCAACATGTTAAACTGTATATTGATCTAATAAGATTAAGGGTTTTAGAGTTAAATGGGTTTCATGTTTCCTTTAAGGGAAAAAAATGATATATGGAAATGTATTTTCAAAAATGACTGCATCTCAGAATGCTTTTTACCTGCAGTATGAAGGCAGTATTGAGGAGAACACGGAGGGTGTGGAGGTGATGAGGATCAGAGCAGAGGACTTGGACCTGGAGGCCTCAGAGAATTGGGAAGCCGTGTTTGACATCGTCAGAGGGAACGAGGCCGGGTACTTCAGCATCAAAACTGACACCGCGACCAACGAGGGCATTCTGATGCTCGACAAGGTACACAAGTTCAATAAAAAAGAAACACAAGTGTTAGTAAAATGATCATAAAAGCAGTAGGTGAGACAAAGAACGTTTCTGTAGGTAAAGTATGAATGGGTCCACCTATTGACCTCACCATTGGAACACTATACCAATTCAATCATACCTGTGGCTACAAGGCCACGCGTGTTATTAATTTAGTATTGGTGGGTGTTTGTCAAATGGTTACAGTGTTTCTAAATTAAATAAAGCCTAGGGTTCATTAAGTTTACAGGTTCTAATTCTGATTAAAGAGGCCCTATTGTGCTTTTTGGGGTTTTCCTTTTCCTGCAGTGTGTAATATAGGTTTTAGTGCATTTAAATGGTCTGCAAAGGCTTCAATCCCTGTGTTACCTCCAGAGGGAGTTTCTCTCCCGTACTCTGCCTGAAACATCTCCATTAGACCCATTTGTTTACTTCTGTAACATAATGAGATCACTATGTAATACTCACTTGCACTCCAACACATTGTACGTAATAGGCGGGACATCTAAGCTCTAAGACTCTAAGCGGTTGACCATTCTCAACAGAGCCGGCCAGCTAACCAATCAGAGCAGACTGGGCTCTGGTTTCAGACAGAGGGTGAAAAGAGGTGCTGCAGCACAGGCAGTATGAGCAAAATAAAGAGCTTTTTGAACATTAAAGCATGGAGACATGTCCCAGCAGAGACACTACGTACTGATATGAAACCTGAATATAAGCATAATAGGGCCCCTTTAATTACTGGCGCCTTTATCCAAAGCACCTTAAAATAAGTGACTATGACGATACACATTAGTACATAGCTTTCAATAAGCCAAACCATTTAAAGTGCTAGTGCTTTAGTTTCAAATACGCCAACTCTTATTTAGTCCTACATAAAGAAGACGTTTTTGTCTTTTTGGCCAAATTTAGATTGATATTTAGACTTTATGTGTTCCATTTCACAGGCTGTCGATTATGAGGATGTGAAGAACCTTGACCTAGGATTAATTGTGAAGAACAAGGTTCCACTATACGATGGATCTACTGGATTTTCTGGAACTAATATAGGACTAGGTGGAGCAGGAGGAGCAAGTGGTGCTAGTGGTGCCAGTGGTGCAAGTGGTGCCAGTGGTGCAAGTGGTGCCAGTGGTGCCAGTGGGGCAAGTGGCGCAAGTGGTGCCAGTGGTGCCACTGGTGCTACAGGAGGATCAGGAGGAACCTTCGGAACATCCGGAACATTCACGCAAGGTGGTACCACATACAAAACCTATCCGATCAAAATCAATGTGAAGAACCAGCCGGAGGGGCCAAGTTTTGACCCCAAAGTCAAAGCTATTCCCGTCTCAGAGGAAGGCAGCTCCGTCGACATCAATGAAGTCATTACCCGCTACACCGCAATAGATGGAGACACTGGGAAAGTTGCTGAGAATGTCAGGTCAGTGCATTAACACATACTTGAAANCAAGCTGAGGTGGGAGTTTGGATTGATGCACTGGGCGGATAAATGAACGCTGGTTTGACCTCAGTTTCAATCTTCTTGCCTCCGCACACCTCAGCCAGGGTCTTGAACTTCATACCGAGGTCATCAATAAACTGTAGGTCGTTCTCAGACTCCAGGAGGCTGCAGCAGCCCACTGAGCCAGCAAGGGAGCCCTGACCCTCGTAGTCATAAACTAAAAGAGCGTCTTTCCCTCCAAGGTTTTCGTTTTCACTCGTCACCTTCTGTTTAAAGAGAAAAGAGAAATCATAACCAAGGTTTCCTTATTTATCGACTGAGACAAATCCCATGATGACCAATAAGAGAATCCTCATCCTACTACACATTCAAGCACATTATTAAAAAGCGGCTCATTGAAAACCAACAGTGTCAGCACTGATGTGTGGGTGTAGGTGTGTGTATGAGTGCGTATTGTGAATGTTTTATTTATTATCATGACTTGCTTTTAACTGTATTCAGTAATGTCATCTATTGTAATATGTACAATCGTATAACAATGTTGTGGTATTTTCATTATTGCTTTTAGGATGTCTATCACCATCTGGCAAAAGGACTATCGGTGAAAACTAGCCTTTTGGCTAATTCGAGTACTTTTACATGTTTTTAATATGTTGATTAAAGTACAGTGTCCCTTGTTTTAAATCAATCAATTCAATTCAATTATGAAGTGGCATGTGTATGTACTGCATGTTGCACATAACATCACATACCAAGTTAATGCCTGTCGTTCTACTGGAAAACATTGTTGGTGCCCGAAAACATGCTTTTCAAATCTTTTTAAGTTTGTAAGTTGTAGCATTTGAGCTGTTCCATGTACGCACATCTAGATTAATATATTTTCAAAACATTTGTCCATGATAAGTGAAGAACAGAAATATTATAATGATTTCTCACCTCACTGTAGTACTGTCCCAGGAAATGGTCTGGCAGAGCCATTCCCTCGTACATTCCTTGATGTACTTGTGATACTTCACTCTTAATCCAAGTTCCGAATCCTGAAACGTTACTCATCCCCCAGCCGATGCTATCACCTTGAAAAGAATAGCCCGGATACATCCCAGGTCCTGATCGCTGAATTGGGACTTCACAAATCACAACTCCTCCATCCACTTGTGGCGGTATGTTCAGTAGCGGCACCTCCTGTAAAAGATCAATGATCCAAATGTTATAACATAGTCCACACTTATTCAGCTGCCGGGCATCAAAAGTTAGCTTTCAAGCAGACATCCTCTCAGCAGCATCAACCAGTATGAAGGTAAGGTTGGTCTCACCGTGTTCTCGCCCTGGCCCTCAGTGCGGTAGTTAATGAGATGAGATTTGGTGTCGAAAGGCATCTCGGTAAAGCCCGCGGCCTCCCCACATCCGCAGAAGAGCAGCAACAGAAGAAAAACTGTAAAAACAACAACAAAGTGTTACTCAAAGGCTACTTAAACATGGTGTGGGGAATGCAGTGTTGCTCTGGGGTTATCCAAAAAAGGGTGCAGTTTATTTTTCATGGCACACTAACCTACCAGGTAATACACTGTCTAGATCAATTACCTAAACCAATATGTGCTAATGTTATATCCTATAAAAGGCAACCATGTATTTAGCTTTGCAGATCATTTAAATGCACAAAACCTATATAACACACTACGGGTTCTGGGTTGGTGCTGTTCAAAGGACTTATTTTCTCAATCAGCTTCAGTTTGATAAAATGTCATTACACAACCTTGAGGTTTTTTTTGTTAAAAACATACCTAAATAATTGAGGGGCTTAAAATCTCTTGACTTTTTTAAATGTCCAAATGAATTCCCTTCATGTCAGACTTTTGTTTTTGTCCCATGTAAATGGCTGGTTTAACTGGCTTAACTATACTCAACCTGATTTAAGATTGTCTTTAGCAGAGTTACATTATTAGGCGCCTGATCATATAACCCTTGAGCCTCAAAGCATACGTACGTAGTAGCAGCAGCAGACCAAGGAACAGCAGTCCGATTCCAGCGGGTCCTAACTCTGCTCCTTTCTTGGTATTACCTCGATCTCCACACATCAGCCCTTCCTCACAGGTGCACACTTGGACCGTCACTTTCTCTGGTTCTAGACAGGCCTGCCCTTGCTGGTCATTCACCACAAAAGTCACCTCGTATAAACCAGGCCACAGGGTCTCCTTAGCCCTCAGGATGGCTGCAGTGTCTGCAGGCATGAGACGAAAAGATGATGAGTGTGCCAAGTGTGTTTAATTTTGATTATAATACTGATTATAGTTGCAAAACAATTCAATACTGGAGCTCAACTGGTTGAGGATGCATGCCAGGATTAGGGTTAGGAAAACCAACTAATGTTGTTCTAATTGTATATCTATTTGAATGTTTTAATATCTATTTACAACACTTTAAAATATTCACAGTATTCTCCTCACCATTGTAGTGCTCCACCTGCCATTTACCCTGAGTGCCCTCTGGGATTATTTCAAAGATAAAAGGAAATCCGTTGGGGGAAAAATCTTCATCTTTAGCATTCACAATAACGGCATCATCGGGGATACACAGAGTCTGGATTTGACTGGTCAGGGTGGGGCAGTGGTCGTTGAAATCCTCCACTTGGATGGCTATGGTGCCAGTGGCTGTTTTAGCAGGCATGTCTGTGTTGAAGGAAATAAATAAATCAACCAGCTTTAAATTTGTTTCTATTTCCAGGACAGATTTCATGAACGTTTTCAAAATGCTAATCTCAACTGTTGGCAAGGCTGGTAAACCACATACAAAGCATCTTGATCTGAAAAAGAAACAAAGTGTACCTTCTGTAAAGCAGAGTACTTTGGCATAATACGTCCCGTTGATCAGGTATGGAGATTCTCTATCTGGCATCTTGTTCAGTTTGATATCAGCTGTTTTTGGGTCGATGGTAAACCAGTTGTCAGGGTCTGAGCCTTTGGCATACCTACAGTAGAATACACTGTGTCAGTTATCATGATTGAGTGTAGAAAACTAAGCTGAAGTGTATATATATATTAGGGCCGGGACTTTAACGCGTTAATTAAGATTAATTAATTACACAAAAATTAACGCGTTAAAAAAATTAACGCATTTTAATCGCACTTATTTTTGCACCGCGGAACGTTTCTCACTGGATGAGTTTCAGGGGTACCGATTATACTGGAGCACCAACTAACGTTCATTACTTCAGACAACAACAAACCACAGTGAACAATAGTCAAACGTGAACGAAGAAGCTGATGAGACCGCTTTGGTTGGCCCCGTGGATGGGACATTTTGTTTTAAAAAACGGACGGATGGAAGCGTCAATAAGAGCACGGTTGTTTGCAAATTATGCAAAAAGGAATTCGCATATCACCGCAGCACATCAAGCCTCAAGTATCACCTCAATGCAAAACATATAGCAGCTAGCGTGGAAGCTAGCGTGGACGTTAGCCCGACTCGGAATACAAGGACCCACACCCAATTCGCGTTGATCAAACAGTGGCCTATGCAACAGAGAGATTTTATTTTTCATCAGGATATTGGANTTGGGCATGTCCAGTTTGGGAGCCGTTGAGCAGTACCATGCCCTGCAGGTCCAGCCACAGGTTCAGAACACCGTGCTGCTGGCGGAGGCACCATCCAACAACCTGCAGGGCATGGTACTGCTCAACGGCTCCCAAACTGGACATGCCCAAGGCGTGGTGGTTCAAGGACAGACCGTGATGTCCAGCGGGCGAGCCCAGGGCCAACGCATGGTGCTGGTGGAGAAGAGCCGGGTCCATGGAAGTGGTGGCAACCTCATCCACTCTGGCAACCTCTCTGGCTCCAAGACCATGATGGTGGTGGAGGGAAAAGCCCCTAAAGGGACAATAGAAGGGCTTAAAAGTAGCCAGACCCACTTTATGCACGGGGGAATTCTGCAGTCAGGGGGGCTTTCAGGATCTCTGGTGGTCGGAGGGCAAAGCAACAGAGGGCAGCTGGTCAAGGAAGCAGGATATCTGTCCCTGAAAAGAGATATCTCTGGCTCTCAGAGCAATGTGGTCACTTCCTCTACCACTACAGTGAACAAAACCCCCACCTACCGCAAGGTGGTGGTACAGGAGACAAGAGAAATTCACTGAATGAGAGATCGTCCGGACAAGAGAGGATCTTTCCAGTGAGGCCAATAAGACTGTTCCTCTGGCCTGGTCTATGTGGTGATGGGATGATTGTGGGACTAAACTAATGCAAGAGAACTAATGTGAGACAGTTAATGGAAAAGGAGCATGTTTCCTATATTCCATTGCAGACTCCATTCTAAAACAGAGTCTACCCAAAGAAAAGTCAACATTGAAGTACATGAACAATACTCCAAACAGGGAAAATAAATAAACAAAATGAAAACAATAAAGTTGAATGATAACAATTCTAAGATGACCTTCCGAAAAAATCCCAGCAGACCTATGTGATGACTGTTGCCTTCTTTTTCCGTACCTCTCAAAGACAAATTATGTACATACAGAATCATGCTTGGTATAATCAGTAAATCCTTAAGTTGTTTAATGGTGTTTGTTTAATGCTGTCAGTTGTTTTGCACTAATAAAAAAAGACATAAAAATCCAACGGTCCCAATTTGGCAAATCCTATCTGATGCTTTCATATTCATCTTTATAATTTTGTTTTAAAGATAATCTGGGAACGATGAGTTTAACATAATTTACAACAAAATAAGAAAACCTCTGCAAGGGTAAGAATGAACATATGTGTTTTTTGATAAATTCTTAATAAAATGAACAGGACACCATATTACCCTTGATATTCATCCATTTCAATAGCTTCTTAAAGAGCAGAGGCAAAGCGGATTTGGGACGGTGCTTTAAGGAAATTGCAAGTGCATACTCCATGTGCCCATATCCCTATATGATCACAGCATTTATATTCTTCAGAGTCAAGGCCCACACCCCTAGGAAGAGTGCTGAACATTGAAGCACATTTTCCTATTGGATAAAACTAGTACTACACTTACCCATTGGGAAAAAGATGACTGTAAATCAGCGTATACTGTATATATATTTTTGGTGAATAAACTACCCAACCCTTTTATAGCCCTTATTCAAATCATCATCGTCTAAAAGTAGAAAACTTGAGTGTGCATGCTTTATGAGCCCAGATAGGGGTGATTTTTAATCTAAATCTCTCCATTTTGGGCTTCATGTGCCATCGAGCAATTCTCATAGAAATGAACTTGGCCCCGCCCTTTAACCCTGTATGCAGTTTCTTAAAACATCCATCGTGATAATCCCAGGTCACATGATATACACAAAATGGACAAAAGTATTGGACCACTCTTATTAATTGAATGCAGGTGTTTCATTCAGTCCAATGGCCACAGGTGTATACAATCAAGCACCTAGCTATGCAGTCTGCCTTTACAAACATTTGTGAAAGAATATGTCGTTCTAAAGAGCTCACTGAATTTGAACGTGGTACTGTAATAGGATGCTACCATTGCAACAAGTCAGTTTGTGACATTTCTTCTCTCCTAAAAACTGTAAGTGGTATTATTGCAAAGTGGAAACGTTTAAGATCCACAGCAACTCAGCCACGACACTCTGTGGATCCTAAACATCCGCCGAATGCTGAGGCGCATAGTGCGTAAAAGTGGCCAAAGCTCTGCTGACTCAATAACTGCAGAGTCCAAACCAGCTCAGGCATTAATATCAGCAGCACTTGCTGCTGACTGAAGAGCCTCTGTTTGAATGTTTGCTGCTGACTCTACCTTGTCTTCAGAGAATTATTGAATGTGTGTGTGGGAGGTGGAGGAGGTGGAGGAGTTAGGTAAATTAGGGTACCCTTTACATCTCATCACGTAATTGACATTCTGTTAGACACACTAGATTAGTGGATTGTTGCCAGCCCTGTGTTTTGCTTTGTACCATTCTTAGTAGTTCAGATAGTGAGGGTTTTTGTTTGAGTTTTGGTTTCAGAGGATAGATTTAGAGATGGGTCTGGTTTTGTTACATTCATGCACTCGCACCCCAGAAGACCTCAGTCTCCTCAGAAGAAAGAGTCTGCTCTGCCCCTTCTTTTAGGGAGCAGCAGAGTTGTCTGAAAAGGCCAGTTTATTGCTCAGTTGCACACCCAGGTATTTGTAGGATTTCACAATCTCAATGGCGGCTCCCTGGATGTTCACTGGTGTGTAGGGGGGGGGAGTGTTGGCGCCGTCTGAAATCCACCACCAGGTCTTCCCTGCGTTGAGCTGGAGGTGGCACCGCACCAGAGGGTGAAGTCCTGCGTCAGCTCCCTGTACTCCCTGTACTCCCTGTACTCCCTGTCGTCCTCATAAGAGATGAGGCCGACGATGGCGGAGTCGTCAGAGAACTTCTGCAGGTGACAGGTTGCGGTGTTGTGGGTGAAGTCTGCAATGTAGAGGGTGAAGAGAAACGGTGCCAGCACCGTCCCCTGGGGGGCCCCCGTTCTGCAGATTATGGTGTCTGATTGACACTCCCTGGTCCTGACGTACTGTGGACGGTTGGTAAGGTAATCCAGGATCCAGGAGGTGAGGCGGTGATCCATCCCCGAGTGCTGCAGCTTGTCTCCCAGGAGCGGGGGCTGGATGGTGTTGAAAGCACAGGAGAAATCAAAAGAAATCAAAGAACATGATCCTCACAGAGCCCCCAGCCTTCTCCAAGTTGGAGAGGGACCTCTGGAGCAGGTTGGTGACGGCGTCATCCACCCCGATGCCAGGCTGGTTTGTGAACTGCAGCGGGTCCATCGATGGTCTCACAAGAGGCCGAAGGTGTCAAAGGACCAGCCCCTCCAGGGTCTTCATCAGCTGCGATGTCAGCGCCACCGGCTGGTAGCTGTTGAAGTCCTTGGGGTGAGGGGTCTTTGGCAAAGGTATCACACAGGACGTCTTCCACAGTTGTGGTACCCTCACTTGTTTCAGGCTCATGTTGAACAGAAACTCCACAATCCCACAGAGCTGGTCTGCGCAGGATTTATTTTGTTTTGTCTTGTTTTAATTTTGTTGTATGTATGTTTATGTATGTTTTGAGTCTGTGAGGACCCCAGGAAGAATAGCCAATGCTCATGCTAGTGCTAATGGGGATCCTAATAAAGACAAAGACAAATTTGAGGAGCCTCGAGCTTAAGCCATCTGGTCCCGCTGCCTTCCGTGCCTTACACCTCTGCAGCTCCCTCCTCACCATAGTATGTGGAAAAAAGCTATATTAGCTCCAAATTATGAACAAAAATGTGCAAGGTATGTTGAAAATATAATAAAAGTCAAGACTACGGATACCTCATTACACTGAAAGAAACGACTTGTAGGATCTACTTGATTAACTCCTAGTAAGTATTTACACTCACATTTTTTAAGTATATTTTACTGCTTTAATATCAAATAGAACTTATTACATTACATTACATTACATTGCATTTAGCTGACGCTTTTATCCAAAGCGACTTACAATAAGTGCATTCGACCAGGAAGATACAACCTTGAAGAAAACAGAATCATATAAGTACATCAGGTTTCATAGAGCCAAACATTTCAAGTGCTACTCAACTGGCTTTAGATAAGCCAGCCCTTTATTAGTATATAAGTGCTTTGTTAGTAATTCAATCGCTCGAAGTGGAGTCGAAAGAGATGAGTTTTCAGTCTGCGCCGGAAGATGTGTAAGCTTTCTGCTGTCCTGATGTCAATGGGGAGCTCATTCCATCATTTTGGAGCCAGGATAGCAAACCCATGAGTTTTTGCTAATGGGAACTTGGGTACCCCTCACAGTGTGGGTGCAGCGAGCTGTTTGGCTGATGCAGAGCGGAGTGCACATGCTGGGGTGTACGGTTTAACCATGTCCTGGATGTAGGAAGGGCCAGATACATTCGCAGCATGGTAAACAAGTACCAGTGTCTTGAAGTGGATTCTAGCAGTTACCGGAAGCCAGTGAAGGGAGCGGAGGAGCGGCGTGATGTGGGAGAATTTTGGAAGGTTGAAGACCAGACGAGCCGCTGCACTCTGGATGAGCTGCAGAGGTCGGATGGCACATGCAGGTAGACCAC